ATCTTCTACAGATATTTTAAATCGTTTCTGCAGAGATAAAATTTCCTAAAAATTGACATAAGGAAAACAAATATATAATATAAAAAAATAAATATATAAAAATAATATATAAATAAATATATAATATATAATATACTGTTACTTCAAAATAGTTTGTATTCATAAAAAAGCTTCAGAATATTAAAAATTCTAATTTATGGAACATTTTCAGATATTACATAGTATTCGAAATAATTCTATGTATATAGTCGTAACTATACTAACAGTCGTATGCAATCATTATTTAATAACATATGCGCACATATAATTAGCTCTTATTGAAAATTATGCGCACTAATGCGCATAGGAAATAACCAGTCAACAATAAACTATATGTATTGTAGGTTGATTAACATATAAATGGTCAATATTTATCTAACAAATGCAGCGCATTTACAACATAGAATAATTTCTCTTGAAATGTTGTAAATGTTGTAATTGTAAAAGAGTAATTGGGAATCGAAGATAAATGAAATATAAATCGCTTATAAAATAATATATAAAATGCGATACAAATTAATGCTGCAATCAATACTACGTTTAATATTTTTTTGGATCAGTTTGCAGTTAATTGTCTCTACCAGATATTCGGACACTAAAACTTTTGAAATAATTAACAATTGAAAATAGAATTCATAAATTACGTATCCGAAGTTTAAATCAATTAAATTATATTCTTGTATTAGTTTAAAGTAAATTTTATTTATATAAAAGTTAAATTTAAATTCAGATTTAATTATAAAGGTATGCGATTTAGGATAATAAAAGATAATTAAAATTGAACAAATATAGATGAAATATAGGTATATATGTGATATAGCAAAAAATGATGAATTTCTTCGAGATTTCGATGCATATATGCACATATACGTGTGTGCATGTGTTAGATTCATCTTTAAACTTTTTCGTGATTGAACTCTTTGATCGATATAAAATTATAACAAAAATATATTGTTTATTAATAAAGATAAAATTTAAAATTTATTTAGAGATTCTAAATGAAATGTGAGATTGAGTAAGTTAAATTTGATCAACAATTGATTTATTTACGATTCACTCGCATTCATTACAAACTGTTTTGTTAACCTTCCAACAGACGCTAATTGAAACGTTTTAAAATAGGCATGCGCATTCGATTTAAACTTTGTCTGGTGACATGGGCATCGGCCGATGCAATCTACGATCTACGTATGTTACTGAGCTAGTAAAATATGAAAGTGATTAGCGGCGCGCATATCTTAATTGAAGCGCTTATCTCGAATATGAAATTGCGGTAGGTTTACGAGGACTCGAAACGATAACGCTTTACCCCATAAATTTGCTCTTCGCATTTTACCGCCATCGTAGCATAAACATTGGCTCGATGATATGCAATTTGGTTGACGGCCAAAACGCGAACCGCGTTGTCGTCGACAGTTTTTTTCCCCGAGACGCGTGCGGGCGCAATCGAAAGTGAACTTTTGATCGCATTCAAACGAATTCAAATCGATACAAAACGATAGATTGCCAAATACGAGTGTCGTGACATCGCGCTATGGATGGCGCGATAGCATCGTATTGTGTTCACAGGGTTGTGTTTAAAAGGAATTCTATGATTAATCTTTTGTTCGAGCAGAAGTTATTTTGGATTTACATATCATATATATTATTATTTTGGATTTACATATTATATATATTATTATTATATTGAATAAAATGAAATATAAAATTAAAATAATTCCATTTTAATTGTGATTTTATCTTGTTATCTTGGTTAATATATTCTAAATGTTATTACATCAGATTTATTAGCATATATATTAATTTACTCTTTTTATTAGCATACATATTAATTTGCTTTAACATATAATTTATTAGAAAAACTTATTGGAAATAATTTAAAAAAATAAAATTTAATTAAAGAATTATAAATAAGAATAAAATAAATATTTTCAGAAAAAAATAAATATAAAATTGTTCAACTAGTACAAGTACTTTCAACGCGATATGTGCGTATTTAGAAAAGATCGGAATTGCTCGCCACTGATACTATCGATGTTAAAATGGCTCTGCAGTACTCTTGACGGTATCGGTTACCGCATTTTAACACACAATGACCATAATCCGGCCCGTATAAATCAACAATGACCGAGATAGATGCCGCTCTAGCGTTAGATTTGGGACAGGGACAGCAACAGCTAAAACTAGACGGTTTCGAGGCAAAAAGCGGATGACATGATCGAAATCGCGTGACCGCCATACAATGTCGGTAGTATAAATTATTTATGAATTACGGTCCATCGGCGCAGGAGTGTAAGTGAGTGCGTTTCTTTGTGTGTGTTATATATGTTTATGTTTATATACATATGTTTCGTGTCTTTATATGATGCGTTCATATGGTGCAGCGACCAATAGAAGTCACATACTTAAAGATAATGTTCATCATCGAATATGGATGTTAAACAGAGATTTTCACAACATAAAAGAATCCGCAAGAATCCTTATCAAGTTTCTTTCTATTCTTTCAGAGGTTAATCCCCGAGCATATGACTACACCAGTGTTTTCTTGCATGTGGCGAATAAATGCACGCGGAAAATGCTAATCTCGCGTTTTATCCGATCGATCAGGAGAATTTTCTGCAAAGGTGAATATACTAGTAATAGGACGGTCATAATTAAAGCACAAGATGAATCAGAACTAGCGTCGCAGCTACCTTTTTTCAATCTTAATTAATTCAACTAAAAGAGAAATATATTAATTTTATGTTAATATATTTCTCTTATCATATTTATTTCTAATAATTATAGTATTATACAATTATATTATTGCAATAATATTATACAATTATATTATTGTAATAATATTACACAATTATATTATTGTAATAATATTATACAATTATATTATGTAATAATTATAATATAATACTGTAATAATTATAATATAACACTTATTCTCATGCATATTTATAATGCAACGTGTAAAAAAGAATTCGATACGCGATGGGCGCGAAATCCAGATAAACATTATACCTTATACAAGTGCATACGGAAGGAAGATAGTTGCGGCAATGCGGTGCGATACATTATCGCAAATTGCACGTATCTAACGAACGCAGTCACGACAATTGCGCTGCAAACGCAGGTAGAGTCCCGCACGGCAATAATGTGTTGCTTATGAGCATATTATAGAAATACTTATTGTGTTGAGACCGTGCGGTAGATAAAGAGTCTAATGCGAGCCAGCAGTGCACGCAATTTTTTCACGCTCGGGAGAACGCGTCACGATTGTCTCGCGAAAAGAAAAACGACCGTATACACAGTCTTTATCTCTCGTGATTAAATTAAAAAACAGTGTATACAGTTCGCAGAAAGATAAAAATCTCTAAAACACATTACGTAATGTATTACTTATCTTTCCGGTCTTTATATGTATAATGACGTAGAATTTTTTTCCGGATCGCTGCTTTCATTATATTGTATAATAATGACGTTATTCTTTCGGGAAATTTATTTTCATCGAAGAATATATCGATGTCTGACAGTGTCTTTTCATTGAGGCGAAGAAAAGATTTTAATGCAATTTCAAAGTGTGTGGATTATTAAATATTTTTTTCTATCACTAAGCAATTTTAAATGAATTTTATAAATGAAATTAAGCGACAGATGGTTGTCTCGTTCGCTGGTTGACACGCTTTAACTTCGAGACTTGTGCTTTAAATTGCTAAAAATTGCAAAATTCTCGCGAATATATAATACAAACAAGTGAAAAAAAATATTCCGTGTCTTGCGCGCGTACAATGGCGCGTTTTGTCGACGTATTTCGACATTCCGCGTTCAATTTGTTACGACATGCGTAACAACAAAGACCATTTGTTTCACACGTCAGATACTAATTACAATTTAAGATTTCCTTTCAAGGTTTCCTGACAAAGAATGCAAATATGCACGTAAAATATTGCGTTATAAATGTTTCACAAAATATTGAACATGTAAAATGAATTATCAAGTAGAAGAGTATAACACAAATAATTTTTTCTCGCAATCTAAAATATACATATATAAATATTAAGCTTTATCAAGGATTATTTTTAACCAAAAATACATATTTTTAAATGCATATAAATTTCATGCATATGATAAAAATGATATCAATATTGATATAAAGATTCATCAATAAATCTATCGAATAAGAATTATTGAAATTATTTACGACATTGAAAAGAAGAAAACAGTTTGCGAGTTCATATCATTTGAAGATAAGTTAATTCTTCGCTATCAGCAATTCGCATTGTTATTTTTTGCTGGATAATACATTCGAGTAATCCTATCGGAATGGAGTCAGATAATTACACGTAGATAGAATGAAGAATTGGAATGGATAGATTCGTTCGAATCAAGCGCTATACAATCGACTCTAGATTTTCTCTGGGACAAAAATTTTCGTCAGTAGCATAAAAGAAATGGGAAAGAAAAAAAAAGAAAATTTCTCGTCTCGACGAAAAGCATCGGACAGATATTAAGAAAGTACTCGGCGCGATCGTCCGAACTTTGTCGTGCCATCTCGGAGATTGGATTTTTATGGAGGATTTCTTCGTATCAATCGTCCTTTCTTGGCGATAATTTTCTAGAGTCCAAACGAATCGCTTGTCAACTCGATATAAATATATCATTAAAAAGATTGCATTTAAACTACGTCTAAAAATCCAAATGCCTTCGTAATTTGCAATTTCCGATATTCGATAAAAAAGCTTAACACATTTGGTTTTAGAAAATTAAGTTTTTGAGTTTTTCTATTTAAAATAAATATGAAATTGTAAAAAAGCAGTTACTTATAATATTCAAATATAATTTTTTTTTCTTTTTTTCAACGAAAAAGTTTCAACGAAAAAGTCTACTGTGTTTCCAGTTATATCCGAATTTACTTAAAAGCTATAACAAAAGTTTAACAAGAATAGAAATCGTGAGAAAATTGTACTTACGTTAATATAGAAATAAGATATCCACGTATCCAAGGAGAGATCCTTCTTCTATCTGAAATAAATCAAGTATGCATGTTGAAGAGAATAAACGAGAAAATGGAGAAATATTTACATTTATAATATTAATTATAATTAAATGATTAATTAAATGAGCAAATATAAAAATATCTTCATTTATAATATTATTTAAGCGCAAAATAAAAACAAAATACTTAAAAATGTGAATTTCCTGTATTCTTGAGTTGTTAGTATTAAGTATCGATCAATATAATCTTTTTTCTATAATTTTATACTAATTATATCATATAAAGGTTTTTACAAGATAAAAGCAATGCCTTTTTTATTATAGATTTCTTATTTTAATATTAACCATTTTGCTCTGAAAGTGATATATAAAATTATATTTGCACGAATCTTATGGAAATAATATTTCCATAAGATTTCTATAAGATTTCCATTTATTATAAAAAAGAATAAAAATATTTGATAAAACACACATTTATATAATAAAAAACAATAATAATAAAAATTAAATTATAGAAGATATCGAAAGTTTGTTTCAAAACAATTTTTTATGATACATCGTTATTTTTCGCAATTATGCAAAATCACAAATCATAGAATATACGATGTAATACAACGGATATGAGTCGGATAAAATATCTGAGAATGGGCCAGACGGAGGAGTTTCTGCTGGAAAAAAAATTGCGAATAAATAACGGTTATAAATGCGCGCTATCGTCGAGTTATTATGCCACCTTTGCATGGCATGACTCGTGCAAAATAACGCTAAGTAATACACGAACGAAATAACTTATGTATATGCGTGCGAGAAAAAAAAATTTTAATAAGTCACACAATCGATGAATTCAAGAGACTCGCGATATAAAAAAATAACTTGGTTTGGAATAAACTTAAACGTTGAAACAATGAATGAAAATTCTTGAAGATTCTTTCGAGTGTTGGAATTATTTTCCTTTCTTAGAACGAGAAAGAATGTATCTATTTTCTCAACAACTTATGTTAATCGCACATTAAGATGCATATCTTTTTATCCTCTTATTTGAATCAAAATTAAATTTTCTTGATGTTTGAATCTGCGTTGATAATAAAATCTTTTATTTGCGCAGGATATAATTTTTATTTATTATCATGAATTTTTAGAGCAATGACTCGCATAAAGTAAAACAAAACTAATTGCTATTGTAACGCTAGCGGTATGATAACGGCTAGGAGTTAAAGTGCAACGAGCGTGAGCGCAAAAAGACGATCGCAAGGACGGTAATGACAATGCACGCGGTATTTTTTTTCTCTGTAACGCGACCTGCATTTTGAACAGGGAAAAGTAGACGCATTAAAACTCCCTCGAACTTACACTCGGGATTTTCGAGCTATGTACAATACCGTTCAGATCAATGAAAACTCGCGGAGTTATATCTCAAATAAGACCTTACCTTCAAATTTTGACAAATATAACAAGCTTGCCATTACATACTTTCACTACATTTACGAAAACATGACAAAGCATGACAGAATAAAATTTTTCACATACTGGAATTTATTGGTTTTTTTCTTTTTTTTTACGTACATAAAATTGAAAATTGAAAATTAAAAATTCCCGCAAATAACTTTCATTAAAATATAAAATTTTCAATTTCAAGTATTTAATAAAGAGTCCACAGAGGCATTTATTTTTTTCGGCATATATTTAATATCGTAAAAAGTTGATAATATAAAGAATGAATATAAAACTCGATATTTCATACCTTCCGCTTTAAAAAAAATTATTCGTATCGAGTATGTACACAGAGCCCCGACTAATGGGATCTTTTTATAAAATATGAGAATGTTCTGTTGGGCGATGTAATCGCCCCTTGTTGTAGGCAGATTCAATTAAACGCTAGACATTGCAAATAAGTAATAGAATATCGAGTCGAAATTAAATCTGATTTTCGGAACAAAAATTTGAAAAAATGCGCAATTCGAATTGTAACTGTTTAATCTTGTTTAAAAAAATATAGACGAGTAGAAAAAACATATTTTTATCATCCCGAACTTAATTTATGCACGATATCCATCACAAATTCTCTGAAAAATTTAAGAATAAAAGAATAAGAGAATAGAGAGATCTTTTCATAATAAAAAGAAAATCAAAAGTAATAAACCTTTTTCTTGAAATGCATTTCACACAAAAAAAATTTAACAATTTTCATTGTCCTACAAAACTTTCTTTCACTACAGTTTATCAAAATTATGTGATTTACGATCTGTTTTGATTCAATGATACTTTAAATAGAGAGAAAAAAATGAGAAAGAAAACGAATATAACGTTTTTTATACTGACTTGGTTTTAATGGAAGACTGGGGAGAAGGGGATGACACGTAATAAACAAACGGAGCTCGGACAGGAAATTCGATTCGCAAAGTCGTTCCGACGCGCTTTATTCATGACGCTCGACTTCGAGCGCAGAGGAGATATTCGCTCGCCCCTTCGTTCACAGCGTGTTTTATCACGTAATCAAGCCAAAAGCGAGATCTACGATCTCCTCGGGCTTTCTCACTCCCTTTCTCTTGAAATAGAGAGAAACTAACCAAACGAGAGACGATCTCCGTTACGTTCTGAATCGCTCCTAAAACTCGCTTCTTCGGGGTGATAATACGAGAAACGCGAGCCGCCTCTGAGAATTATTTCCTACGAATACTACTGCGGAAGGAATATATCCGACAGAAAATTTAAAGACTTTTCGAAGAATTTTCATTATTTATTTTTTTGTTTATTTTTTCATTAGCTATTAATTTGTGGGTTTTTTCGTTAACAAAGAATCAATTTTTTTTAAATGAAATGTCAAAGTCATTTTTTAATCTTAATAATATATTCAGTAATGCATTAAATTAATACTAACTATCTTTGTACTTAAGATTCGAACGTTACATTTGCGTGAAAATCCTCAAAAACGTAAGAATATTTCTTTTAATCTAGAATGAATCTTTTTAATCTAGATGTTATTCATCTACAGAATTCTATTCACTCACATCTATTCATCGCTAATAATGTTTAATACTTATTTTAATTTTGTTATATTATTATTTTAGATTAATTTGTTTCATACTTTCGATTCGTTTGATTCGTCTCAGGAACACCGTATACATAGGAGGCCGCCCTTGGGTACAACTCAGCAGCGCTCAACGAAATCGAGTTCTCGTTCGCTTTATCCGCAGCTTCCGTTGTTCGGTCGATGGAATGCGAAAACCCGCGAGAGGCATCGCTTATACAGAAGAACAGCTTCCGCCGTGTCACGAATGTTGGACCAGTTCCAAGTCACAAATCGATTGACCCCCAAAACCAATCGGGTACATAGGGTGTCCAGAATTTATGAGTTATTTATTACTTGATCAATCAAATCAATTTTTTCCGCAAAAAAATGTTGTGGAAAAAATAATAATTTTTAAAATAAATAATTTTTAAAATATAAGTGCAGATTAGAAAAATAAAAAAAGCGCAAATAAGTATAGTTATTAATTTTAAGTAAAATTTTGACATTTTTTACAAAGCAAAATATCAATATAATTATTATTTCGCGAACAATTAATATAAAGTTAATAGATTATCGAGGAAATATTGTATTGTAAAATTTCGAATAAGAAAAAAAAATTTTAAATTGATCGAGTAGCGATAGTTCCCTTGGCCTGGATCACTCTGTATATTTCTTCATGGATAACGGAAGAAGCGCATTCCCGATAGAGCAGATAACTGCATCGCGAAGCAGCGACCTGTCAGATGGTAGCATCCCCTGACATTTACATGCAGCGGAACAATCATATGTCATCTTCACGATAAAAGTTAAGTTCGTGCACACTAGCTATTCTCGAGTATACGCGGTGTCTCAAAATGCGCGAAAAGCGAAATTTATTCTTGCAAAATTTCTACTAAAATTTACTAAAAAGTATACATATTTTCCAATTTATATTAAAAGTTAAAACAATTTTCGATTCACGCTTTTTTGAAAAAGAAATAAATCTTTAGACCTTATGCGAGTACGTTTCTCAGATAGAAAAAACTGATTGTGGGGTTTAGCCTCCGCATCATATCATTTTTATATACGTGTCTACATATAATAAAACAGATAAGTATCATACAGGCTCTCGTAACACTTATAGCCGTTTAATGGCGATTATGGACGAACTCAGCAACGTGTAATAACGCGAATTATCGCGTTACATGCGCACAAACGCGGTGGCAGACGGCACGAAACCGAGCCGGATATAATCGCGCATTGTAAATAACGCCTTCAACACGTATACGATATATATATGACGATTACGGGGCTATTTTGCGAACGCACGGATCGCGTGTGCGTCGTGAGTTTACAACATTTGACTGACGAGAGAGTTTAGATAAAACAGTGTCCATTTAATTTTAACCGGCAAACTATCTCGATATCGCGTTCCTAGTTGCAAAAGTGTCGTTTAATTAATACTCCGAGGGTCGTTCGAAAACATATTCATATTTAATCCTGAAATTTTCTTGTTAACTTGATAAGAATAGACATCATAATATACCGAAGATATATGAAACTAAGAATATATTTTGTACTAACTCTTTCCATTTTTTTAAACTTCTTGCGCATATTTAAATATAAAATAAATTATATAAAAATATTAAAAGAAATGTAAAAAGAAGAATTATTAAAAATTTTCAAAGTTTTACCTATACATAATTATTTTTTGAAATTATTTACTGATATAAAAATATTTCATATTCAATGTTATATGAATAACACTTTCCGGAAATGTAATTTTTAACAATAGTTCTGTCTTGGTTTTTCATTTATTTTTTATTTACGTTGTTAGGCGTAAAAAGAGAATATTCGATTGCAATAATGTAAACAATTTTCGTACAACTGTCAAATTAACAGAACATTTATTGCAACATACGAAGAATATGTAGTTTGTGGTCATTGCGTCTCTATACGTGATGACCTAAATAGTGTATTCGTGTTGTAATTAACGCGCCGCAGCTGACTTGCTTCTACTATTTCGAATGTACCGACA